AAGTATTTAAAGTATTTAAGTAAATAGTTGTAAAATCTTTATTCAATAATTCTGAGGTATGGTGGCTAAATGATAAATAAATAAATAAATATTAAATAAAATAATATCCAATTTAACTTTTAATGTTCGRTTCRAGTTCRATAAAATATTTGAAGAGTTCGGTTCGGTTCGGGTTCRATTAAAAGTGTGTAGGTTAGAATCTGTTCGAGTTCGTTAATTTAAAGAATAGTTCGGTTCGGGTTCGGTTCGACCTTAAAYATTATGGTTTGTAACATCTCTACTATTAATATATACACATATAATAAACTACACTATAACWGTGATAAAAATGATTGAATGTACATATACATATAGTATACGAATATATATATTATACATACATTTAATTGAAATGTTTAATCTAGTTGAAATAAAKATTTTCAAAGTTAAAATCAATTTTTTATTAGTTATTACTTATTGCCAATATAATATTAGTACTAATATAAGTATTCTATTATACCRTTATTACCTACTGGGAAACATTTTATGTAAATTAACTTTTTCCGTAAATTTCRTTGAGAGGATAATAAAKTATACTGAATTAAAACTACGTAATTGTCATCATAWYACCGAATCGAAAACAACATGTTAAGAAGTAAGAACTCTGCAATATGAATTCTAATGTTTGCATCAGGAAGACATTGTGTTTGTTGTGGTACAATTAAACGTTTTAATCCAAATCAAACTAAATAATGTATTTTTACTAGAAGCCATTAAAAAAAATTATATTTGCTTAAATATTGCCAAGAAGGCAATAGAGTCCATTTTAATTAAAACAATTCTTCCCAGTACCAAAATATTTCTTCATCCACAATTGATTGTAATAACTATGTCACTTTTATGTTTATACCTAATTATTATATTTTTTGGCTTCCAACTATATTTACATTTTAACCAATCATTCATAAACTGTAAATAATATTAATTTTAAAAACTATATTATTTTTCTTTTTTTAATTATTTGAATTCGCTAAATTTTTTGAATTCAATTCTTAATCAGGTGTCTGTTTTGAAATCTGCAAAATATATTTTTTCAAAACTTCGTTATCTGTTTATTTTTTAATTAAAATA